TGTGCAACCCGCCACCCCCTGGACCATACCGATAGTTATCTGTGTGACATTCGCAGCCACCCATACCAGCTTGGTGCTGGAATACCTCTGGCGACTCGTTCCATAAAAGTGTACTCTACTGGCAATCGTGCCAAGCACAGCCCTGATAACCCAGTCCACATACAACCATGATTCCTAAAATAATAATAACTTCAGCTTGCATCAGACGTCGCGCTGTGCCATCAAATGGGTAGCTTCACTGGTTGAATACAGCCGGAAAGGTAAGAAAAAAACAACTATTGATACCCACCCCCTTCCTCGTCCACGTAGATTTTTGGTTCCGTTTTCCCATTGATAATACGCTACTTGTGGGTACATACGTCAGAAATTATGACCATTCGTTCTGAAACGGTCTTGACCGCGACATTTTTGTCAGACGGCGCCGAGAGCCTCAGGCATCTCGCCTTCAAGTATCGATGCTTGGTTTGTGTTGACGCATACAGCGCTTGCCATTTTGGCCTATTTATTTGTATTTATGATGTACAGCTTTTTTGTACTGCGTTTCGGCCCAAGAGCTTTCTGTCTGTATTCTACCCAGAGATTATCGTCAACTCCTCCCTACCTTCGAAAAATCACTTCCATAGCTAGCAAACCACAACATACTCACACCCTGAAGCGAGCGAGACGGTAGATTGGCCATGCTCGCACACTAGATGCGGTCCTTCTGCTTCCACTTGTGGAAGGGTTTTGGTTGACTGAATATCCGTTAAAGTACTCCACACAGGTCATCTAGAAGATTGCATGAATGGATCTCACCAGCGAGAAGCCTATTGCCACTACCCTATCGTCGCTGCCTAAAACCCAACCAGAAGTGGCTCTGATGCCACCGAATTCATCTTTTACAGCTTCTCGAATGCCTCATTGCAACGGGTCAAAATCTAGTGCCTATGTTTAGATGGTGAGGGCTAGGATGCGCAAGTGAGCTTACTTAAGGCATTTGGAGCACAACTGGGTGATCGACTTGAACCGGACTCAGTAGGTGTAGACAGCGTTGTTCGGAGGCGAACTGCGAGAAAAAAAAAAGAACATGACGTATGTAGGGTAGATGTGTCGCGAACCAGCTACGGACCAAAGAAAGGCATGCCCTGGATGGTCAAAATATAGACCAATCACGATCGGGCGATTTCAGATCACTGCACCTAAAGCATTATGGTGATCCTACCTTGATCTTGTGGAACATCCTGTGAGCACTAAACAAATGCCACTATACCACCCTTCCTCAGTCCCTTTTAAGGACTGTCTCGAGGTAGCGATCTTTGCATATTTCTTGGTGGAAGCTGCGGCAGTGTGGTTAAAATCCTCAGCAACTAACCGAATTCATGATATCACTTTCACGGATTCACGGATGCACGGATTGATACACAGGATCGAGGCCTTCGCCCAAGTTTCCCGGGTCGGTTTTTTTCTTGGTGGTCAGCGGCTGTCGTTCACCTGAAAGGCACACAAAAAGGGTGTACCACTGCTATTTATGTTCTCTGTGCGGGGCAGTATGGTTTACAGCGCGGGGATTCGCACAAATAAGTGTCTAATAGTGCCTTAAACTGGGTTCTAGAAGGAGAGAGGAAGACCGTCGGAGGAACGTCATTCCTCGCACCTAATACCCGGAATGAGAAAAAATTTTGTCTAGTGAGTGTGTGCTCTGAGCTTGAAAATTTTCTTACTATGTCCCCGCCGTTTGTTTGTTTGGTCAACGGTAAAAAAACCTGTTTGCCAAGCTTTGTTCAAACAGGGCATAAGTAAGAGATCAGGCATCACGAGACGCGTCTCGTAGTCTACGGATTTATGACCGGCAACCATTTTCCTGGCGGCTCGCTGGACAGGCCCAATGAGGGTTAGGACTTTCGTGCGTCCTGAGTGGACAACTTTGTTGGCGTATTCCAGGAGCGGTCTGGCGTAGGCCCCATAGAATATTTGGAAGTACATGCGGGTAATACGGGGGAAGGTGCGCCGGATCATCAGTAAAATGGCGAATGCCTTTTGGGCCGACTTCTCATGATGCAGTGGGAAGGACAAGCTTGAGGAGACCCGGATAGCCTAACACTTTTGGTGTCTATCCTCATGATGTTTTCTGGTTATTTCTAATCATGCATGAGAGAAGCATTCGCTGAGTCTCCTCCAACTTACATGTGGACGCAAATTACATCATTCGGAGGAAGGTGCCGTCCAACGACCACTGCTTTGTAGTCTACATTCATCTGGAGGGCACTGGCATTGTTACCCCAGGATTCCAAGTCGGGCGCAAAAATTAGACATGGACTTGCAATAACATGGGGGGGGGGGGCGTTGACGTAGATCAGAAACAGCACTGGTCCCAGGACGGAGCCTTGAGGAACTTCAATGGAGACCGGCGCTGGAGAGGAGTAGGTTGAGCCTATTCTCACTCGGAATGATCTGTCTGATAGGAACGCCCTGATCCACTGAAAGACTCCACCCTAAATCTCGGTAGACTCGAGCTTGTGGAGCAGCGATACGTGTGGCACCTTATCAAGTGCTTTTGAGAAGTCGAAAATTGTGGCATCCGATATGAGTCCTTCGTCCTTGGCTTGGGTTAAGTTGGCCATATACACGGGCATGTTGGTCACGCAAGAGCGGGTTTGGTAGAAATCCGTGTTGAGCTGGAGAAATCAGGTTGCTGAAAGTAAGGTGATCTAGGATAGCTCGCTTCAGATTGCGTTCTATCACCTTGGACGGCATGCTAGTGAAGCCTATGGGCCTATAGCTGCCAGGCGATAGTCGGTCACCAGTTTCGTAGTTTGGCGTGACAATCGCTTCATTCCAAGCAGAAGGAAAGCGACCTTCGTCAAGCGACTGACGAAACACCAGATGTAGATGAATTGCCAGTGTGGTGGACGTTTCTTTCAGGATCTTTGGATGGACCCCGTCGGGCCTAAATGCGTAGAATGGGTTGATCTTGTGCAAGAGTTGACGAATGTCCTCCACCGTGAAGGCCAAGTCGGTTAGAGGCTGTTTGTAGTTACGCCCTGACAAGAGTTGATGCGACGAGGACGCCGGGGCTGAGTATACACAGGCATAGTGTTATATTTATATTTCAGATACCACTGTTGGGTGATTCGTCCGTTCTCCGTTTCTGTCCCTCAAGGAAAGCGCGGATGGCTTGTTTCTGCGGCGATGCCTCATGCATTTGCACACGACGTTTTTGATCGTTCGAGCGACGTCCAGAATGGTGGCTTGTTCTCGTACGTTCCATTGGCGGATTTCTGATTTAAAGCGGGTCCGCATTTTACGAAATGCCAGCTCGTCTTCTGCGTACCCGGTAGTCACCATTTTGAAAGAGTTGGGACTTTTTTTCAGAAAACACAGAATCCTTTTTGGTAGGCTGCGTTTCATCCGAGTGCGTGCTGGTTTTTTAGGATGGAAGTTGCGTCAGCCTCGTGAGCTTTCTGAACAATGGTCCCATACAAGTTCTCCACTGAAGGTGGACCCAGCTTGGCAAATTCAAGATGAGTGTTCCTGAAATGTCTGCACGGAAGAAGTTTAAAATCCGCGTTTGATGTTCGGTATTTCAGGCGCAATAGCAGATGAAATCAAAGCTTAGCACAGATCGCTATGTCCCAGGTGAGCGGTAATTTTTACTTGATCAGCGAAATGTCTTTCGTTAGTGATGACCAAATCCAAGACGGATGGTAATTGGCCTGCGTGGCTTCTGATGGGTGCAATGACATGATGAGTCCAAGCTCTCTGTAAAACGTCTACAGTCAGCGCCGCTGCAAAAAGTCCGCCTGATTGCACGCGCTGGAGCTCCATCCAACAGGCCTTTAAGGCCCCGAATTCACCTACCAGCAGGAGCCGAATGAAGTGGTAGTTGGAGGATAGTTACCCAAGGGTTTGTTTGAGGAATCGGTCATCTTCAGTGAGACTCGAGGGGCTACGGTAGCCCACACCGAGCAGGAGAGAATCGGATCCGCGCAGCTGGATTTGGACCCACGGTGCATCGCGAAATGGTCCAAGGGTGGTATCGGAGAGGACAATCGGGATAAGTAGACCGCACGTAAGCACAGAGAAACCCCATCTACCCTCCCTCGTTTTGAGACGGCTCGAAAAATAGAGTAACCGTCTATCGAGACCTCCGCGTGAGAGACATCTGGTGTGAGCCAGGTCTCTGTGAGTGCGAATATGGACGGCTGTTCAGGGCAAGCTGACTGTTCAACACCGCCGATTTTGTTAAAACGTTTGAGGCAGTTTGTTGACAAGCATTTCAACACTGTCTCTGCTACCTCCGAGGTTGAGGAGCCGAAAGTTGAGTGGCCAGGGAGGTTGGCAGACTTAATAGTTGTGCATCGGGTTTGAGTTCAAGGCTCCAAAAGGGCACCTGGGTCGATGTCGTCTTCTTCTTGTGTTCGTGTTTCTGGGGGTTCTTTTCGCTTGCGAGGGTTTTAGCGTTCCGTGGGAACCCTGATTTGCTCGAGCCTTTTGGCTTTGGGGGACGGAGTTTTTTCCCCGTGTGCGAAAATTTTGGCCAGTGCTGCTCGTAGTTCTTTACGCATCTACTTTTCCTCGACCAGATTTGAGGTTGATCAAAGATTTGCGGCGAGCTTTCGCCTTCCTGGATTCTCGGGTGTTTTGGCGCGGTTTGAGCGGAAGAGTGTCTCTGTGAGGCCCTGAGCGCTGGGTGGTAGCACCAAGAATTAATGAATTTGGTGGCGTTTCCAGGAGGCTCGTTTTCGCGGAGGACTGCACCCTGAAGCCAGCCAGCAATTTTCTAATCTGGCGAACTTTATGTGGCTTGTTTAGCTGCAGTCGCTCTTCTTTCGCGTTTGTGTAGACACCCGATCCGCCTGCGATCAGCGTGGCCCACTGCATTTTCTAGGGGTTTTCCGGTTGGCTGTAGTAATGTTTATGGCTTTGGTTGTCAGGTTCCTGGGCGACGAGCAAGCTGAGAGGTCGCTTTTGACGGAGTGGAGCTGGAGATTGGCTTCGCTGCTTCTCCCCGCACATCTGACTTAGCCGTGGTCAGAGGCTATGGCTTTGGCGAGGAGTTCATGGCTGCACCTGTGTCGTCTCTTACGAAGATAAGCATTGATAACTCTGTGTACTTTGGGCTTGCTTGTGAGGTTTGCATCCTCCAGGGCATCTCTGCCTTTGTTGGGCGAGAGGCCTGTGATGCTCGAATAAAAACTGTTGTCCAGAGACGAGGCTAGTTTCGTTGGCCTGCTTTCGGAGCACAAGGGACTATGGTCACAATCGGCCTGGCCATGAGCTTGGGGTCGGCTGAGTTGGTGCCTAGCGGAAGCCTGTTTCGTGTTTTTACCTCCGATCTGCTGTGACCAAGCTTTCGCGCGCCTCGAGGGCGACCCTCAGATAGATGCCTGATCATTGGGTTGGCCTTTTGAATGGTGCCAGCCCGCATATGGGGAGGAAAGAATGACTATAAGCCCAAGAGTTCGCTTGCTTCCCTTCTGGGATAACCATTCTGCGTGGAGGGATTGATCAGTCTTGGTGAGGACACTACTGAGGATCGATTGTGCCAGCTTCGCTGGCGTGACCCCAGATTATCGATCTGTTCTCCCTTAAGCGCCTGTCCAGTAGAGACGAATCACAAACATTTTCAGGGCGAAATAAGCGCGTGTAAGACGGCCTGGCGGTTAAATGAACGTACGCTATTTGGGAGCACAAGGGGGTATGACCGCAATAGATTTGGTCATGAGTTTGGGGTTGGCTTAATTGGTGCCCGACGGAAGCCTGTTCCGTGCCACCATCCCTGACCTGCTGCAACTAAGATTTCGCTTGTCTAGAGGGCGATCCTCAGATAGGCGCCCGATCATTGGGTTGGCCTTTTGAATGCTGCCAGCCCGCTCCAAGATCTCCTGTACGTCAGATGGGGAAGAAAGTGTGATTAGAAGTTTAAGAGTTCGCTTATTGCCTTCTGGAGTAGCCATTCTGCGTGTAGCGATTTATCAGGCTTGGTGAGGACGTTGCTAAGGATCGATTGTGGCAGCTTCGCTGGCGTGGTTTTTCCAGAGAATGACACCCAGATTATCAATTTGGCTTCCCTTAGGCGCCTGTCCACTAGAGACGCTGTGGCGGTCTTTATAGCCAGATGGGCGGAGACAGTAGGCGAAGCCTACAAGCAATCCAGCCTCATATATCGACCTCAACATCGGAAAATTCCGCGAGATAATGGGAAGCCTTAGCCACAATCCGTCCACAATGGCCTCTTTGCTTGTGGACACAGTCATAGACAAGGGCCCAGACGCCAAAACCACAAACCTGACCACATCGAACAGGGAAATCCCTCGTACACCCGGTTGGTCACACTGATCGTGGGAGACTCGAGAATTCACACAAACACGGAAGAAAGACAAGTGCAGCTAAAAAATTTGGCTTCCGGCGCCTGTCCACTAGAGACGCTGTGGCGGTCTTTATAGCCAGATGGGCGGAGACAGTAGGCGAAGCCTACAAGCAATCCAGCCTCATATATCGACCTCAACATCGGAAAATTCCGCGAGATAATGGGAAGCCTTAGCCACAATCCGTCCACAATGGCCTCTTTGCTTGTGGACACAGTCATAGACAAGGGCCCAGACGCCAAAACCACAAACCTGACCACATCGAACAGGGAAATCCCTCGTACACCCGGTTGGTCACACTGATCGTGGGAGACTCGAGAATTCACACAAACACGGAAGAAAGACAAGTGCAGCTAAAAAAATCGCATGAAATTCGCCAAATCAGAAAACAGCTGCCTGGCCTTAAGGTGTAGTCCTTTAAGAAAACGAGCCCTATGTGAGCGTCACCAAAAAATACCTCTCGGTGCTGCTGCCCGGCAGTCAGGGTCTCTCGGTGACACCGTTTTGGTCAAACCACCCGAAAATGCCCAAGAAACCAAAAGGTGTACGTTTGTCTCAAATCCTCGTTCAACAGTAAATCTGGTCGATCAAAAGGCGATACTGAAGGAACTACAAGTAGCAGTGGTCGAACGTTTTGCCCACGGGATGAAACGTCGTTCCCCAAAGAATATGGGTCCACGCAAATGAAAAGTATTTCTCGGAACGACGAAGACAGGAGCAGACCATTATGCCTCACGGGCCTCTTCGGAGCCTTGGACGTCGCGCCCACAAGATACCACGCAGGACAACTACCATTCCTTCTGGATTCGGTCATCACTAACGAAAAGGCTTCGTTGATCAGGCGATAATTATTGTTCCACTTGAAAATAGCGACCACCTGTGCTAAGCTTTGATTTCATCTGCTATTGCGCCTGAAATACCGAACATCAAACGCGGATTTTAAACTTCTTCCGTGCAGACATTTCAGGAACACTCATCTTGAATTCGTCAAGCTGGGTCCACCTTCAGTGGAGAACTTGTATGGGACCATTGTCCAAGAAGTTCACGAGGCCTACGCGATATTCGTCCCAAAAAACCGGCACGCAGTCAGATGGGCTGTAAGCTACCTAAAGGGATTCGGCGGCTTCTAGAAAAAAGTCCCAAGTCTTTTCCAAAATATTGACTACCGGGGACTCAAAAGATGAGCTGGCATATCATAAAATGCGGAACCGTCGTAAATAGGAAATCCGCCAATGGGGCATACGGAAACAAAACACCATTCTAGATCTAACCAGGATAAACAGGATTGTGCTGTTCAAATTAATAAGGTATCGCTGCAGAAACAAGCCTTCTGTTTTATCCTTTGAAAACTGGACACGGGGAATCGAGGAGTGTCCCAGAAATTGTATCCGGGTTCTATAAGTAACACTAGGCAGGTCTATATTCAGCCCCGGCGTCTTAGCCACAACCAACCTTGTCAAGGCGTATCTACGAAAGGTTTCTAACGGAATCGGTTTTCAAGGTGGAAGTCCTTGGTCAGCTGTTGCACAAGATCAACCCATTCTGCGAATTGGGACTCGAATAGGTCTATCCAAATATCCTGACCGAAACGTTGTTTAAACTGGCAAATCATTTCTACAGGGTGTTTGGTTAATCGCTTTATGAAGGCCGCCTTACCCCTGGTTAGAAGGAGGCGACCGTTATGCCAATCTAGAAAACTGGTGACTGACTATCGCCTTGCAGCTGCAGGCCTACAAACCTTACTAGCGTACCATAGATCAACCCTGCGAATTGGGACTCGAATAGGTCTATCCAAATATCCTGACCGAAACGTTGTTTAAACTGGCAAATCATTTCTACAGGGTGTTTGGTTAATCGCTTTATGAAGGCCGCCTTACCCCTGGTTAGAAGGAGGCGACCGTTATGCCAATCTAGAAAACTGGTGACTGACTATCGCCTTGCAGCTGCAGGCCTACAAACCTTACTAGCGTACCATGCGAAATGACGAAACTCATTCTGAAGGAATCTATCCTGAGTCATCTTAATCCAACAACTTGCTACCTCCAGCTCAACACAGATTTCCCCAAAACCGTTCTCGCGTGACGAACATCCTTGTATTTATGGACAGCCTGACTCAAATCACCCGATCAAGTGCCACCCGTCCCGTTTTCCCACAATCTCGAAGTTTGCGGAATTTGGGGGAAATTTTTATCCGCGATAAGACTTTAGTGTCAAACAAAACAATCCTGTGGAAGCAGTGCCGACCTGACCTTCTCCGGCAGCGATCTGCTTTGGAGCTCCTCAAGACCACTTTCTGGAGCCTCTGCTGCTTCTGATGTAGGTCAACGACCTTGTAGATGTTCTTACAAGTCCATGTTTACTTTTTGCGGATGATGTGACATCCTGGGGTTCCAGTACCAGTGCCCTTTGAATGGATGTAGACGCTAAAACGCAGTGGTCGTTGGACAGTCACCTTTCTCTGAATGACAAAAAGTGTGTCCACATGTCATTTGGAGGAAACTCAGCGAATACCTTTGTTACGAATAGTGAGAAAAGACCAGAAGACATCACGAGAATAGGTGCCAAACTCCAAAATTGGCTTTCTTGCTGCACCATGAGAAGTCAGCTCACAGGGCGTTCGCTGTTTTACGGATGGTCCATCGCACACTCTCCCGCATTTCTCACATGGACTCCCAAATACTCCATGGGGCCTACGTAAGACTGCACCTTGAATATGCCGGCTAAGTGGTCTAGTCAGAATACACGAAAGACGTCACCCTCATCGAGCGTGTCCAGCAAGACGCCATGAAAATGGTTGCCGGTCGTAAATCCGTGGACTACGAAACGCGTCTCTCGGTGCATGACCTCTTTTACCTTGGGTATCGTCACTGGTCAAAAGTTTTCTCATTTCGGGTAGTAACTGCGCGGAACGACCTTCCTACGACGGCTGTTCAAGCTCCTCCTAGAACCCCGCTCAAAGTACTATCAGACAATTATTCATGCTAGTCAACGCACTGGCAAGCATACTGGCCTGCGCTGGGATCTTGCAGGACAGGGCTACATTACTTTTTCACTTGTGCCCTTCAAATGGACGAGAGCTGCTGAACGACACGAATAAAACCGACCCGAAAAACTTGGGAATAAGCCTCGATCCTGTGTGTCAGTCCGTAAATCCGTTAAAAGCTAAGACCACCGCCAGCTAGTTTGCCAGATTCATTACTGGCACCAAACCTTAACGAGCTCCTGGAAGTTGCTGAAAGAAATGATCGGGCGTGTTTTAAAGCAACCTCGTTTCGATCACCGGATTATGAAAAATTCGACTGTTTCTGAGAAAAATTGGGCCTGGCTTCTCCCCGACAGGTACAATATCTGGTGGCTGGAGTCATTTATTAATGCACAAACCGCATTTATGACTGCTTGGATGGCTTTCCACCTTGGAGATCTGGTGGCATACGCGAGGGATGAAAGCCTCGTGTGGTGGACGGGTACGCCCTGCAGGGAGGGTCGCCCTGTTACGTTGCGTTCGTATACTCGCCACCCCTCCAGTAGCACGGGTGTATCGCCCATCACCGGTGGTTCTGAGCCTGGCCTCTATTTCAGGATAACCAAAAAAGAGCAGCGTTGCAGTTCGTCTGTAGCTGGATTGGCCTCGTTCCGGTTTTCACTTGTCCCACAACACCAAGAAATACAAGCGGACGACAGCTGTCCGTCAGTTTGTTCTAAAATAATAATGAAAAAGAATATCAAATAACATTCATGTATGGAGTAGCCTGAGAGTACCCGTGAGGCCCATGGATAACGTCGACGTGCAAGGTGTTGCCACTCTCGT